TATTAAAATAGATGATTTTTTTCAATTGAAATTTCAATCTGATTACTCAAAACAAAATAATTAAAATATATGTATTTCAAAATCAATTGTTTCGAATATGATAATTTTTAAAAAGTATAGTGAAATAATTCGAATAAATTTTGCAAATGGATTTATTTCAATTAAAAATTAACTTTTTGTTGAATCATATCTGAAAAAGATGGGATAAGAAAAAACAAGTATGTTATAATGACTGTTACCATATGTGTTAAAATATGTGCATTTATTTCCTTTACTGTTGGCAAACGCAATGGACAAAATTCACACAGATGAACGTTTTCACCCACATGCAATTTCATATGTTTGTATAAGTCGTTACTTTGCACAAATGCACGATCACAATAATGACACCCATGTGGTTTTTCCCCAGTATGAGTTAACGTATGGCGGTCAAGCATTGTTTTGCGAGCAAATCTGATGGACAAAGATAAAGATTGCAGTATGTTTATACATAGTTTCATGCACCCGCAGCACACACATACATACCGTTGATCACACTCGACGCAAACGTAATTTTTTATTCCCGCATGTAAAATAGTGTGTCTTTTCAATAAATAACGCTGATTGAATCTCAGTCCACAAGTATCACAAACGAATGGTTTCTCTTTTTTGTGTACAAACATATGACCAGTTATATCACTTTTGTCAATAAATTTTTTTAGACACACCGGACATTGTTCCTTTTTTTCTCCTGTATGTCGTCTCATGTGAGCATTTAGGCTTCCCTTGGATTTAAAAGCTTTTCCACATTCTGTACATAAAAATGGAGTTTCATCTGTAATATGAAATGAATATTAGCAACATCCACACATATATGTATGCTATGTATATAGCAAAACTATATACAAAAAATTACCTGAGTGTGTACGCATATGCACATTAACTACGTATCGTTTGGCAAACTCTACAAGAAAGTGTAATATATTTTCAATTTTTAACATACATTAAGCTAATTCCATTACTTTTTCCACACACTGGACATGAATGTTTCTTTTGTTCTTCATTATTTTCGGGGTTTTTCTTTGGGGGCCTAATTTTTTTTATTCCCTTGTGGACCAACATATGGGCATGCAAATAATACTTCACTTTAAATGCCTTTCCACATTCAGGGCACACATGTGGCATTTCATCTGTGTGTAAAAAAGCAAAAACAAAAATGTACAATGGTAATGGTTAATGGTAAACTACAACTTACCGGAGTGTATAAGTAAATGATTGTTAAGCCTGTATCGCTGTTTAAATTCTAAAATAAATTACGTTTTTTTTCTAAAGATATTACAATATGTGATTTGTTTTACCTTTACCGCAATATCCACATTAAAATCGTTTTTTCTTTGGCAATGGATCTATCTCTATTGTAGAGTTATTACTAAAACAAAATATATAATTTCATAAAATATCAACTATTGATTAAATGGAAATATTTTTTTACCTTTCGTCTAAGGTATTGTGGCCTTCATTGGATTCTGAATCTGATGAGTTTATCTCTATCATTTTTTCCGATTTTTCATCATCGGTTCTATGATTTTCTATATGGGAAGAGTTGTCACATTCCTCTGAATCCGATGATTCTATTTCTGGTATATCCTTTTCTTCCACTCCATGGTTGTTTATATCTGTTGTAGCTTCAGCTTCGTCATCATTGGTCGTTGATGAATTGTTGACCCCACTCTCGTGAAAAACTTCTATATTTGTAGTATCTAGTATCTCATTATTTTTTGTTAATGATAATGTATCCGCCATTGCCACGAAAAAGCCATCTGGCCAATAAATATCGCAACATGCCAAAACTACAAAAGTGTACTTCACATTATAAAACGTATCTTATAGCTATACAGTATATATCTTAATATAAATTATGAATTCTAAGTAACAAACTTTAAAGCATATTTAAATTCATTTTAAAACTAAACAGTTCATATACTAACATAATATATGGATTTTAATTAACAAACTACAAAGCAGAAAAGGCTCCCCAGCCATGTAAAAATAAAGCAGTAAAGACTATTGTTGGTAATATCTAAGCAAAAGAACTGAATAAAGTCGCATCTACCATTAAAAATTAAAAAAAAAAAATTAAAAAATACATTAGTCCAGCATGTAATTAACAGCAAAATCTTCAAACTTGCGTTGAAATACACTGCGCGAAAAAGAAAAATGTCGTAGTTCAACAGGAAGTTGATTCCACAAACGTGACGAACGAATAATAAAAGATCTTTCATATAAACAAGTGGAATAGCGCGGGAAAATTAACTGAGTGTTCCTGGTAGATCTAGAGAAAACAAGTCGATCACGCAGGACACCGGGAAGATCTAAAGTGACAGATTTATATAGAAATGAAATAACTCTTTTCTTTACGAAAACAGAAAACGGTACTCCTAGAAATTCAGCCGCATAAGCTGAAACATGATCTGATCGACGTAAATTATAAACGTACCTTACAACCATATTGAACAATTTTTCTATTTTGTTAAAATGCTCATGTGTGGTGCCAGATACAACTTCTATACCATAAGAAATAAGCGATATTAACAGAGAATTAGCAAGATTTCTCTTTACAAATCGTGGCAAATAGAATTCAGTTGAGTATAATTTTCGAAGAATATTCATTACTCTAGGGTATAGAGCATCAATATGAGCAGAAAAATCAAGTTTGCTATCAACAATAACTCCTAAGCACTTTATGCGATCAACGAACTCAATAATTAATCCATTAACACGTATATCTATACTATTGAGGCGACATAAAGGACCATATCCCATTGCTTTTGTCTTTGTAACATTTATTACTAGGTTATTATTACATAACCAACGCGATACTGCGGACAAGGTATTGTTAATGTTAAACTCCAATAGGGAACTAGATTTGCCATTAAAAAATAAGTGAATATCATCGGCATATAAAAACGGTCGACATCCGCTATTATGTAAACAGTTACCAATGTCATTCACGTATAAAACAAAAAGAAGGGGACCTAAAATTGAACCTTGAGGTACACCACTGTATATATTAAGTTTATTAGAAGTCTTGCCATTTAATGAAACATACTGGGAACGCCCAGACAAATAGGAGAGAACTAAATTACAAGCTGTATTATCAAAAGCATAATTAGATCGTAGTTTTTGAATTAGTCTCGAATAATCTACACAATCAAATGCCTTGGATAAGTCCAAGGCCACGAGAACACCACTTTCACCTCCATCAATTGTCTCTCTGATAAGATCAGTTAAGTCTACTAAGAATATGAATCAATTTCAATAGATTTTTATTGGCTTGTTTATATGTTTCCATAAAGTCATGGACTTTTTGCAATTGCTGTATGCAGGTCCTGCACACCGTCTTGGGTAAATCATCTTGTTGGTTGATTTTAATTTCCGGTTGAATTGTTGTTAATAGGTGTGTCTGGTTACTTTCCCTGCAGGAATTGTCCAGTAACTTCTTTCTGAGAGAGTAAGGTAGTTTTATTCTCTTTTGCAAGAAAAATGCGAAAAGTAAACAGACGGCATCCCTGCAGAAGCTTGCAACTAATCAGCTGATTTGTCAAAACAAACCAATTTGTCCGCCATTATAAAGAATTAAAAGAAAGAAAACACAACCAGTTTAACAAGTTTTTGAGCTATATTTTGTACCATTCCTACTTTTCACACAGAAATGTAAAAAAATAAGTTGGAAACCATCATAACTACCTTTCTGCATATCCAAATCCATATTTGGGCTTAATAATTTACTGCCACTGGCTACAGAGACACACTGATCTTCTTCCGTCATTTTTCTAAAAATGCTGGAAATAGTCTTTTATTTTCCTATTACATATTAATACTTACGTTTTTCTCGTTTTGTAAAGTTTTTCTCCAAAAGCAATTAGTCTTGCTAATTCCAAAAAAAATTATTTTCAAATTGAAAGCACAAAAATAAATAAACAAACAATAGAAAACATCTGATTGAATGTCGATGTATGAGAAGAAGAAGAGTTGCAAGAGATTGCAAGAAGAAATTTTTCCAGCAAGAATTTGCAAACTCTCACTGAAAGAACTGTCAAAATTTCTCTCTCCAACCGCTCTCTTTTGCAGAACTTTTGGGTTAACAGACGACTTCCAGTAACAATTTGTAACAATTGTTACAAACTTTAGGGTAACCAGACACACCTAATATGTCGATTATCTTAGGGCTTCCAGAGCATTCATTTAGGGTGGCAAAAATGTCAATTGCATCCGCTTCCGGGACACCGATAACAGTTGTATCCATTGTACATGTCCGGCACAAACTTTTTATGGAAAATATCGATGACTCCTTTTCATCCATTTTCTCAAATACGTTAGTTTTATAAACAAAAACACCCGCTGGGTGCATATACAAAGTTCAATATAATCTATTCACTGAAATGAACTATATGTGTACTAGTTTACAGTAATACGCAAAATTAAACAAGATCGTTCAACGTTATTCACCACAAAAATTATATACGGCTCCCAAAGGTGTTAATAAATTATAGCAATTAAAGGCCGCCATATAACGTTTTTATTCATTTAAATAAATTAAATAATTTTTTAATATAGTATATTTATACCCATAGTACAAGGCATGGCATAATTATACAAGGTAGTCTCATGCAGTCATATGTTTCAAATTTTTTCATAAATATGTCTTTGATCAGCTTTCAAAATTTAAATGAAAATATCTTCCTTTGAAATGTACGCATATCATGTGCTCATTTTGAATAATATTTTTAAGTTCCCGGCCATAAAACCTATAAATATAAGTTGTAACACCCATATATAAATCTTGAGAACAATGTTCAGCTTTATAAAAGATATTTTGTTTAACTTATTGAAAATATGTCAATCGATATAGATAAAATTTTAAACGCAATAGTTTGTTGCGTTTATTTGACATGATTTCTATAAATAACAAAATAGGCGATTTTATTATTATCGTAATTTGACATTTATTTACACGGCAATTATTTTGTACAATCATATTTCTTCCACCAATCGGCAAACATTTTAACTTTCGTTATTATATTCTGTTCCTTTTGTTGGCGTCTCCATTTGTTTGCATCCAAATGCAACATACCGCCAATAATTTCTTGGGCGAAATTTGGCGGAAATCGTTGTTCATCTTCAATGACGTGAGCAAACCCAGTATCCATGCCAAAGTTTACCCAAAAATATGGCAGACCCTTGGGTATACTGCTACGCAGTGATTTGTTGCGCAACGAAACCAACTGTTTGTTGACACACCATTCATGTTCCGATTCCTCAATGGCTTTCTTGAAATAGAACGGTGCCATTTCACCCTCGGATTCTTTGATGGGTATACAATGTATTACAAGATGCGGACGTCTATGCAGTCTATTGGCAATTTCAAAGAAAATCACATCCTTACGCTGGGCAGCAAACATTCTCGTCAATGCCTTACGGAAATCATTTATCTCCTCCCAGGTGTCTTCGTCTAATTGCGTACAACATGTGGCATGGTGGGTGGGTATAATCATACAATGACCCGTCTGAAGTCCCTGATACCATGGTAATGCCAGATATACCTTGTCTCCCACGGACACCAACAGTTCCTTTTGCATTTTTGTGGAATCAAAACATCTGTCGCAATTATCCAACACAGCCTCCATTCTTTGATGCTCTCGTATAGCACGATCACGTTCTCTACGCGCCTCTCGCGATGTATCATCTTTGCAGATCTTTTCGGCGAATATATCTTCCAAATCGTCATTAGGATTTTTATTTTTAGCGGCTAGATCTGCAAATTCCAAATTAGCCTGGGACGCGGTGGTATATTTTTCCCGTTCAAACATTTGCTTAATGTCATAGCGATCATCATCGGCAAAGTAACGGACACGCTGGCCCTCGTCATCATGGGTCTTGACACGTTTTTGTTTCTTTTTGCCGCCATACAAATCTCTGGGATCAACAAATTTCGAGGCGGGCAAAGGACGACTTTGTCCCGATTGATCAGTGTGTGTGAGCAGAACATGCTCCTCAGCCTTTTTCTTGGATTTCTCTCTATTTTGTTGGCGGCTCTCAGCGATTTCCGATTTTTTTCTTTCCTTAAATAGATTTCTTTGTACTCTTGCCTTTTCCAATTTTTCACGCATTTCTTCAACGGCCGCCGTATTACCCATAATTTCGGCTTTAAGTATCTTCGCTGCTAATTCGTTCATTTGTTGATCTGTTAGGAAATCGGAAGTGGAAACACTTTCTTTCTTTTCCGTATTATGATTGTCATGATCGTCGTTGTCCGACGAAGATGAAGAACTCTCACTTGGCGGTGTAGCTGATCGTTTCCTAGCAGAAGTTGTGACCGGAGGAGGTTTACTCTCCTTCAATTGTTCTTTGGTATCACCACCGGGTTTCCTCCATCCTCTAGAAGAGCTTTGAGATGTTGATGACCTTACGGAATGACGATTTGAATCATCATGATCATCGTCATCTCGGGGTTTCTGAAAGCCAGGTAAACCTGTACCCGTTATTTTCCAATATGGATTTAATTCTCTGCTACTCTTTGCAGGATCGTATGTATCGATTTGTTGTTTTTCTTGTGACTTATTTGGACGTTCGCGTGAATATGTCTTCAACATTAGGGCATCTGTCATCCAGCTGTCTCGCTGCAAAGAAACTTCAGCCTTGGGTGCCTCTACCCATTTTTCCTGCTCACAATCTTCATCTTCACTATCACTACTAGTGGGGGAGCTGTCACTTTTTGGTTTCTTCATCTTGCTGGCTTTCTTCTTTTTACTCTTCTTGGATGAGGATTTCTTTGATTTCTTGTGTTTTTTCTTCTTCTCCGACGACGACGATGAATCTGACGATCTGCTTTCACTTGAAGACGAATCATCATCGCTATCACTACTGCTTCTCTCATCGGAACTAGACTGATGTTTATGCTTTTTCCTGGACTTGGACTTTTTGTTTTTGGAACTTTTCTTTTTATCCTTTTTATTTTTGTGTTTGCTCAGCTCTTTTTCCTTCTTCTTAAGTTTCTTTTCCACTGCCGGATGTATCCAGTTGGTCTCACCTTTCAATTGTTTGCTAGCTTCTCGTTCAGCCCTTTGAACTGCACGCTTCTTGGCTTCTTCCAGCATCGCCTCTCGTGCCTCACGCAATTCTGCGCGGGCTTTATCTTTTTCTCGGGCACTTTCAAATTGTATGTAGCTCATTTTGTAGGAATCTTTTTCCGGTTATACGGTTTGGATATGGAAGCAATACCTTTCAACGTTTTGAAATGAAAGAGGAAACAGTGAAGAAAGAGTGATAAACGATAAAAGTTAAGAATCAAAATAAAATGAAAATGAAATTTAGGGCTAGCAAATGATGAAAAGCAACCTTGTTAGGGATATCTCAATCGTTTGCAATAATTGAGTGAATTTATGCATCTTCTTGATTGCAATTCACTTTTAAATGATAACACTGACAACTAATGAACTAATTTCTTTATGTTGTTTGTCATAGAATTGTAAATTAAATAGAGGAAATCGATTAAGAAATATAATAATGTAATAATATAATATAAAATTAATTATATATAAAGTTGTTAATCCTGTATTAGATTTAGCTATTGTATAATAGCTAAATCTAATACAATTGATAACAATGCCAGAAATGAACAGAAAAGTATAAATTTGCGACATTACAAATTGAAATTTGAAAGAGAGTATTGTTTAGAATACTATGCCATTTTTTTTAAATAAATTCAAATAATATTTATCTCTTTAAAATATGAAATAAACATTTTGTGGTATTTTTTATCAGCTGTCGTACTATTACTGGGCAAATATTTTTAATTTTAACGTATTCTGTGGCATACTTTAAGGAAAACTCTTTATTTTTTGGTGCAAAAACAGGGTTGTATTTAAAATTATCTCCGTTTAGCATAGAGGCGCGATTAGACTATGCCTTCTAAATCGATTCGATTTGGTACCAAATCTAAGAAGTTTAGACTAGTATTAAAATGATATAAAGTTGATTCGTCATCTAATTTCTAATAATTTCATAATTTCTGTCGCAATTTTGACCATTTTCAATTAAAATTTTTTACAATTTTTTATGAATTTTTGACATAATGGGAATAATTGTTTTAAATTGTAGTAGATTTAGTATAAATTACGGTAACGTATTTTGTAGCATACTTTAAGGAGAAGTCAATACTTTTTTTAGATTCAGTATAAATTACGGTAACGTATTTTGTAGCATACTTTAAGGAGAAGTCTATATTTTTTGTGCAAAAGCAGGGTTGTATTTTTCTCTAAAATTAGAATTGGATCTCGAGCAAATTAAAACTGATTAAAACAACAAACAAATTGGCGCAAACTAAAAAACAGCATTTTTATTGGAAAAATGGATAACAAGCGTTTTCTTCGTCCATTTTGGTATTTAATGATACAAAATCAAAATAAAATTCACAAAATAATCAATTTTCTTGAGAACTATTTTTTGTTTGTTTACAAAACATAACAAAACAGCTGATTAAATATCAGCTGATGGTACAAGAAAATTCTTACTGAGTAAATTTTCCTTGTAAGAATTTGCAAATACTCAGTAACACAACTGTCAAATCTGCTCTCTCAATTCACTCTCTTTTACTGGACTTTTGGGTAAACGAACAACATTTTGTAATAATTTGTACAAATTCGTACAAATTATTGAGTAAAGGAACGAACCTATTTTTTAATTGAATTATGAATTGTGTTTCAATCAAAATAATCTTGATATTCTATTATTTGTGGGCAATTTTTATCAGCTCAAGTTTGAAAAAATATGTTTTTTTTTAAATTATATCCAAAACTTGTAAAATATTTTGTAATTGTATTAAATTCAAATTTAATATAAAACAATTGTCGGAAAATATCTTCGCAATTTATGTTGAACTTGTATTTCAATCGTCTTTGAAATCCAAAATAATCTTGATAATTAATTATTAATTGTGCGCAATATTTTCTTAATTGATTAAGTTTGGAAAAATGTGTCATATAAGCATATGTTTTAAGTTAATAACATTTATGATTTCATTATCAACATACACTAAACATGGTATAATTATTACATGGTAGGGCATAACTAACATCTGATTACAATTTATTTCAATGAAATTAAAATATATATTTTGTGTTTATGTGTGTATTGCTTTGAATACTATGCCAAATAAATTTAAATTGAAATGAAATTTGTACAAATTTAATTGAAATGAAAGAGATTTTTTACCGCGTTCGTCTGGAAGCAATGACATTTTTATAGATGAAACAAACATTTCATAACCTTTCATTAATTTTCCGCATTTTTAGTTCATGTGTTAAAAAAATGAAATAAACACAACAACCTGTTGCTTATATATATTTTATTATTGACATTAGAAGCCAATACCTGCATAGTTGTTTTTGTTATTCATCTCTAATATATTTTCATTAAATTTCATTTTACGTTATCTTTTATTTAAGTAAATAAAAATAAACATCTTTGTGTGTACAGTACTTCCCTCAATAACGGTCAATTATTCATTGACTTTCTGAACACTTCCCATAAGAAAATCGCTCAGCTGTTAACATTGTCAAATATTAACTGCAGCCAACTTAACTCAACATGTCCTTTCTTCCGGTTCTCTCTGTCAAGCAAGGTATGAATTGCTGAGAAATTTTAGAAAATTTATTAAAAAAATCACATTGTATGCGAAAAAATGTAAAAAACGAATAAAAATGTGACAGAATATGTGGTAAACATTTGTGTTGTGTTAATGTGAATCATTTTCTATGTCATAAATGCAATAAATGTTGCGAAACAAAGCAATCTGAAACTATTGTCCACATGTGACAAGAAACAACATGCATTTTCGTGTTGTATACAATGTGAAGATAATTGTAGTGGGAAGGTGTGTGCTTGGAGAATGTGTTACTAATTGTGGAATAAATTTTCTTGTCTTGTTGTAGATGCCCGGCGTTACTGTAAAAGATATTGATCAACACGCTTGCGTCAAGGCTGTTGCCAGCTTCTTGAAGAAGTAAGTTTTTTATTCAATGTAATAATTATGTTTTGTGTATTAATGTGTGTGTTTTCTTTGTTTTCATAGGACTGGTAAACTAAAGGTGCCCGACCAAATGGACATCATCAAGACCGCCAAATACAAGGAATTGGCTCCTTATGATCCCGACTGGTTCTACATCCGTTGTGCTTCAATTTTGCGTCACTTGTATCACCGCAGTCCCGCTGGTGTTGGTTCCATCACCAAGATCTACGGTGGCCGCAAACGTAACGGTGTCCACCCATCTCACTTCTGCCGTGCCGCCGACGGTGCTGCCCGCAAAGCTTTGCAAGCCTTGGAACACGCCCGCCTTATCGAAAAGCACCCCGATGGTGGCCGCAAATTGACCCCAATTGGTCAACGTGATTTGGATCGCATTGCCAACCAAATTGTCACCAAGCAACGTGAAGCTACCAAGGTAGCTGGCCCTATTGTCATTTCTGAAAACTAAAAAAAAGTTGACAAGAGAAATAAAAAATAGTTGATACTTTTTTTTTTAAATTAAAAAAAAAAATTGCTAATTTGTGACTTTATTTGAAGTGTAAAATGGAGTGTTATTGAGATAACATGGTGTGTGTGACACTAAACCGGAATATTGATGGCTATCATCTGCATAGAGGGTATATTATATGTAAACAATATGTTTTGTAATAACATCATCAATTTTAAATTTAATTTATTTACATGCATTGAGACCTAGGCCAAGGTGGCAAGAAGCACCTATAGCTAGAGTTGGATTTAAAAAAGTTATTCCATTGTACTATCTTACAAAAAAAAAAAACTGGGCTTTGCAAGAAATGAAAATGTTTTACATTAGAAATTTATCCCCATATAGTATTAGCGTTTATATTAATGATGACAATCGAAATATTTAAATGGCTTATTAAGCGTAGAATTATATTTTTATTATTGCAAGGATTAAATTGCATAATGAAAAATCTGTGGGCCTAATTATAGTTAAAGCCTTAGAAAATATGGAAAAAAATTCCAAAACCAAAAAATGTACATAAAACCTTGCCTTTGGACGAAAACCTTCACAATACCAAAAATACCTCTCTGGCCATTGAAAATAAAAATGCAGGCAAATAGTTTGTAAAATTATAAAAAAAAAATTGTAAAAAATTCCGTCATTTGGAGAAACATTTTTCAGATCGGCAAGGTGATAGTTATGCAAATCACATCCTCTTCGTCTAGTCTAGAACCCTTAAATAGCCAAAATCGGTCGTTACCCTTTCACGAAGGCGATGTAAAAATTTAAGTTACCAAAATACAAAATTTTGGATTGAAAAATACGAACCAATGTCGAAAATTGGACTTGAATTAACAAATTAATTGGACTTGAATTAACAAATTATAGTCTGGCAGGAAAAATTTCAAAATTTTTGTTTCAAAATTTTAGTTTGAAAAATATGCACCTGTCGAAAAATTTCTTGGTTGTAAATTTTTAAAAATTCAGAATATTCAAAATCTTTCATTGCCCGCACATTAGGGACTATATCAAAACATGGAGCAACATTGAAATTTTTTTGCAAGTCCGTTTTTTATCCTTTTAGGAATCCGAAATGCCATATTGGAGAATTTTTGGTTGTAAAATACGGCTAGGACCCTTCATTCGCCAATTAGGGTGCCAAAAATCGTTCCTGACCTTGCATAACGTCTAAGTCAAAATATGCACCAATATGGACAAATTTCTGCCAGACTTATTTTATCATTTGTGGAATCGAAATGACAAATTTTAGGACTTTCTGGTGATAAAAATACTGAAGGAATTTATGTACAAATATCTACATGAACCCGAAATGTCAAATCACATCCACTTCGGTCGAGGACTCTAAAAATACCGAAAATGTTTCTGTTAAAATCCAAAATGCCGAATTAAAGAATTTTTGGTTTTAAATTCGGTAGTTATGTCAAAAGATTCTCAAGATTTGTCAAATTGTCGGCAAGTTAATCGTTTAGCCCCCCCAAGAACCGGAAATGTCAAATTACCTCCACTTCGGTTGAGTCAGTAGGACCCTCAGAATACCGAAATCTTTCGTAACCCTATGTCAAAACATGAACCAATGTAGATTTTTTTTAATCCCAAAAATGCTATATTAGAGAACTTTTGGTTTTAAATACAGCAAGAACAATCCGCTTTGTTCCAATTTAAATTCCCCTAGATGTTAAAAATCGTTAGTGGTCCCTTCGTTGTCTCTTTGTCTAAACGTGGATTAGTATAGAAACATTTCTGCCAGATTTTTTTTATCATTTCAGAATTTTTTGTAATTTTACTACATAAAATTCTGAAATGATAAAAAACGTCTGGCTATTTTTTTAAAATTCCAAAAATCCATAATGCCAAAATACATGTACATCCGTTCAGAATGTGTTTAAATTTACATTACAGGCACCTCTCAGAAAATTTTGAAATTTTTACTTTATGTAGCCCTTGTTGCGTGGGTGGGATGAATGACTCCTTTTTTCTAGGGCGGCGCTATTCAAACTGTTTCGCCTGCAACGGTTGAAACACAGCCACTCGTTTGGGCCAATAAAAGGGATTAATGGACTCCGCCAAAAATATTTTTTTTAAATTAAAAATCACCAATAACTTATTTGACGCGCGCGCTCTGCATGTGAATCCCGGACTGAAGAGACTGAGGAAACGAACAGTGTAGCCACATCAATAAAAAAATAAGGCTGTGTTCAGTGTACATATTACTACGTTTTTATCAACCCTGAAAAAGGGTAGCCATTTAGTGCAACATTCGCCATTAAATGTATTTTCCTAAAAATTATTGGAAAATTTATGAAAATGGAGGAAAATGTAGGCTCTATAAATAAGGGTAGGAGCAAGACTATAGCTTTAGTCTGATATTAACCGCCACAGGCCAGAATATTGTGCGTCCCCAACGTTAGAAAAAAAAACCATAAAACTAACAAAAAACACAACGACAATCAATTATATTGCAGTTTTTATTTGTGATCTTGTTAACGGGTGGAATCAAAAAATTACCGTGAGTGTCTTTAGTTGTTTTGTGTTTTGTGATGGTAAAGAGGAGATATATTTTTTTGGTAGGTTCCCCCCCTCAGGAAAATCTCAACATCACTCTGCTACTGGCCTCCAGTATTCCCAAGTGGGGGCCAGCGATATTTTTTTTGGATCTCCAACGAGCCTTTTGTGTTGTGTGTGTGGATGTGTGGCCTTTCAGCTGTTTTTGCCAGCAGCAACATAAACCAAATTTTGTGTGGCCGATGGTAATCTAAATCCTCCTTTATTTTTTGGCCGGAACAGAGGTAACGGTGCTACTCAGCTAAGATAGGCGGTTATCTGGAAGTATATCAAAAGAAATATAAGAAAGCGATAAATTTTAATACCTACAATGAGTTGGGAATAAACCCATGCCTTTAGCCTTAAATGGATTCCCAAAGAAATATTTTTAAAATTCGTTAATATTGATAATTATTATAAGACAAATTATTTAAGTGTATCTTGTGTTGTCCTTGTGTATGTCAACTTTTTATTTGAATTTGTAAGGATTTGTGATTTGACTCCAGATTGTTTTTAAGTGTTTAAAGGTCATATAATTCTCTGAAGGAAGACTAGGGATTCGTCGTATATAGTTTTAACGCCGGATTGGCCTATTCAACCATTATAAACGAGCTCCTTTATAATAGGGACTTGATGAGTAGTTTTTAAAGTGTTATTTAAAAAAGAATCTCTAGCGTTTCAAAGAGGAAATTTTAATATCGAATTTGTTTTTGTTTCATTGATATATTGAGTGATCTGGGGTTGAAGAATCCAAGACAGGTTTTTTTGTTTTAAGGCTTATATTATAAGAATAAATGTAATATGTTTTGATTTTGTTACCATAACTAATATGTTTTAATTGTTCTTTTAGAGAGGATTCTAAGAAGGTGATGAGGTGAGTGTGTGTGTGTTTGCGGGGTTTCCAATAATATTGATACGTTGGAACGTTTGGAAACCATGGTTGGGAGGGCAAAATGTGAGAGTAAAACATCTATACTCTCTTATCAAGGCAGGTGTTGTGTTTTGAATGTAATGTGTTTGTTTATTTGAATAGTAAAGTCTCATTTTCGTGTTCGCCCCTGATGGGCTAGAGATGTGGACGGGTTGAGGACCATAGCCCAGAGACCGCTAACTAGCCGGAAGGTCCCCTCTAGCGCCGCCTAACAGGGAGTCGTAACACCCTTTACTTTACTTTATGTAGCCCTTTCGATGCTGATTATTGCAAAATATTTCTTTCAGGGTGAAATAAATACTTCCAGTGGTATGGAGATACAATATTTCTTTTTAATATTGATTATTACAAAATGTTTCTTTTCAGGGGGAATTTATTACTTCCAGTGATATGGAGCTGCAGTATTTTAAGAATAACCCCACTTTTTATAAAATATCTGGGAATACCACTCGGAAACATAAGAAAATTTTATTTCTTTTAATTTAATAGCATCCTTCCGCTGCTGATTACAACGAAATTATAATTACTTTATTTAAATAAAAAAAACCTAATCACCACTATTTTTAAAATTTTTGAACCTAGGAAATGCGAATTCCCAAAAAAGCAATTTCGGACTCGTACTGAATTTTCTATGGTGATTTCAATCCAAAAATTTCTAGAATATCAATTTTCATTTTTATCAAAAAATAACAATTTTAATAATATTTTTTTTTTCTTTTTTATTTAAACATTTAAAAATTACTTCTTATACAAAATTTCTCTATTGAGCCTATGCAATAAGTCCGCTTGGACTAATTGCCGGTAGCTGGTTGGTTAACTTATAAATATTTCTTATACAAAATTTCTCTACTGAGCCTATGCAATAAGTCCGGCAGGGACTAAGTCGCAATGGTTTTTATTTTGTGTGGATTATTCTTTATACAAAATTTCTCTATTGAGCCTATGCAATATGTCTCTAATTCGACATGCATTACATACTTAAATCTAAACTTATAAACTAATTTTTATACAAAATTTCTCTATTGAGCCTACGCAAGAAGTTAGCATTTTTTTAAATATATTTTTTTTTTGTCATTTCAAACACCGTGTTATTTCTTTTCTTCCACAAATCTTCTTGCAAAGGAAATGGTATGGTACCAAAATCTAGTTCCTCCCTACTAGAAGCACTAACATTGCAGATTTATTTGATTTTTTTTCTTTGTCTTACTTCAAATAGTTTTATTTCAATATATTATATTTAAAATACACATACCAAACAGTGTATAGAAACTTATACTAATTATTGTGGATCTGCAATATAATGCGTTTTCACAGCTACTTCTAGACCCGGTCCAGAGCCTCTACCATAACAATGCTGTTACCACGAATGACAACCATACCAATATTATTACGAGTACTGTCTTTGCACTCCTCCACGGTTTCGTCGAGTACGACATTCATGAAGGGATCAAAACCTCGCAAAATGCCAGCTACAGAGCGACCGCCATTTAGTTTGAGCAACATCCGTTTGTCCATGTATCTGAAAATTTGCAAAGAAATTAGTGTTTTTCAAGTAAAATGGCTAGGACGCCGACGAACCAAAATTTGCCCTCTGAGTGACAAACATAATTTTGCCGAAAAATCCATCAATAAATGACAATAGTAATAAAAATGATATATTTACTTACTTTTTAAGTTCTGGAGGGTGAGCCTTGGACATTTTTAATCGTGTTTTTGCAGAAAAATTATAAAAACTAAATGCAAACTATCAAGAATAATCAAGCCGGAATGGCGTGTGTGTCGGAAAAGTCAAATCGATTAATCGGTACATTTTGTCATCACTGAAACGATTAACCGTGCGTTGCAGAGTTGCAATTACACGTTACCAACTTATATTTAACAGCAGCATTCTTAAAGAATGCTGTGTGTCAAAGGTTGACATTTTGTAATAATGATAGAGTTTAGTATTCACTATCAGTTTTGATGATTTTAGTGGATGCTTGACGAGTGAAAAAACACGAACTGTCAAACTGGTAGTGTGTACGCTGCTTATAGTAAGTAATTAAGCTACGTTTACACATTATTTGATAGAAAGTGTGATTTATTTTTAATATTATATTAAGAGTTTCATAATTGTAGAGTTGTTCTGAATAGCTTAAGGTGTCTTGAGGAGTCGATTAGAATGCCAAGTATGCAGACATAATAGTACACTTGTAATGAACTGGATTTAGTAAATTCGGTGGATTTAAATTGTCAATTGCAATGCAAAAATGTCAAATAAAAGAAGTTAATCCGTCAAAAGTTTATAATGTACATGTCATCTGGCCGGCTACTTATAAATTACAATTTTTTCATATTGTGGCTTGTTATGCCAAAGTCATATACAAAATGTGTGACTGTGTGAGTAATGTTTTGAAATGTATTAGAAAATATATTCGAAAATCGATTTGTTTGAAGATGATTTTTACAACATTTGAAAGAAGAAATGTGTGATTTGTGAATGAAACAATGAAGTAAATCATATCCCCAACTAATTTTTCTCGTTTTTGATAAAATGTTAAAAATATGTCAAATGAAAAGAACGACTTGTCGCATTTGATTTCATTTATTCTGACCTTATTGCCCAAAAGGTAGATGTGTATTTTCTCCTTTCTTACAAAAGCTACCCTACCTTGTATAATTGTACCATGATAGAACCTGAATCTAAAACCACAAAATCCATCTGTCCGGAATTGTCACTAGGCTAATATATCTCTATGCTATAGTAAATCAAGAAAGAGATCTGACATATATTAACATAGAAACCATAACAGATCACTGCAATGTACAATTATTCAAGGTTGGCAACTTATAAATTTGCATTTGTTTTTTTATTCTGACATTACACTCCCCACAACGTAGAGGTGTATATTTTTTAGTTGACAAAAGAGAGCCTACCTTGTATAATTGTAACATGAGTGAAACCTTGTACACACTAAACATTTGAATGACAGCTTGGCAAAAATTATTCTCGTTTGGACTTTCATATATCTCATTGATAACAATATTCGCAGTTTTTGGGCAGACAGTTATCAATAGAACAGCTGACAGTTCCAGCTGATCATTTGTATAAGAATTAGAAACGATAAAACATACTATGTCAAACATAATCAAAATTAATACATTTAATTGAAATTAAAGAAATTTATTACAGCATTCGTCTGAAAAAATCAATTTTTATAGAATCAATTTATATGTTGGTAACATTATATTCATGGGACAATAAATAGTGCATTTAGTGCATTTAGCGCAGCTGATGTCTCGATTAACTGTTAAAGTAGGTAATTTCCATGATGCAATAATAAGGTGATGTATCAAAACAAAAACATTTGGTTTTGGTAGCATATATATTTCAAATGGCAGCACATCGGATTCAAGTAGAAATTACGCACTTTGACAGTTTATCAAGACATCAGCTGCTCTAAATGGACTACCTATTCATTGCGCCATGCTCCATTCGTGGTTTCTACTTGAATTCGATGTGCAATGTTGCCAACCATGTGAAATATTATAAGGAAAAATTTGACAGCTGGTCGAGACAAAAACAAAGAATTTTGTTTTGATACATCACCTTATTATTGCATCATTATTATATTTATATTACATCTGACAAAAAAAGCCACTATGTACAGTGTTGCTCTTTTGGTAGTCACCTAAAAATTGCCTACTTTTCATCTTTAATGTCCTACTATTAATAATAATATTTTATCGATTTTTGGGTAGAAATCATAACGATTTATAAATTTTTCAGGTTTTTAATAGTACGCATATTTACCAACTGAACACAATTTTTTCTCATGGTGGCTTGTTCTATGCAATCAAAATACATATTTTGTGTTTGTGTGTGTATTGTTTTGAATAACATGTCAAACGAATTCCAATTTAAGTGAAATATATTGAAATTTAAATGAAATGCAACAATTTATTACGATTTTCGTTTGGAAGAAATTACTTTGACAACTGCCACGCCGTCTCCGTCGCCATTCAACTTTCACCCCTATTTGCTGCAGCTGGAACGTTTTTGATTTTTCTTTCAGTTGCAAACGAAGGCGACACTTCGTGTGTCAAATTGAGGCCAATTACGACAAAAAAGTCAACAACTCGCAAAACAACTCGAGAGTTTTGTAGTTTTTTTCGCGAAATAGTCATTTTAATTACTTTTAATTTAGTTTTTATTTCCTTTTGTTTTCGTGTCAACGGGGATTTAGTAAAGCGCGCGCGATAATGTTCTCAAAGAAAAAGAAGAAACCTCTCATTTCGATGCCTAGCAATTTTGAGCATCGAGTTCATACGGGATTCGATAAACGCCAACAAAAATATGTCGGGCTTCCAATGCAATGGGCGAGTATTGTGGGTAATAATCAAATATTGAAATCAACAAATAGGCCATTACCATTGGTGGATCCATCGGAGATCACGCCAACAGAAATATTGGATTTAAAGACAATTGTACGACCGCATCACAACAACAATAAAGCAGATACAACATCATTGAATAGTAGCAGCATAGCTGCACAATCTGCTGCTATGGGAGGTGGTGGTGTTGGTGGAGCAGGGGGAGTTATGGGCCAGCATGTCCATGCAATGGCAGCAGATAATGGTTCTGCCACAATTGGCGGGGGTATTATTTTACCCAAGACTTCACATGTGGCGCGATCGAATTCATTGCGTAGCTCAAGTCCGCCCCGGGTACGAAGAGATTTGAGAGGAAATGCTAATGTGCCACCCGCTGTACCCGAAGAAAGAGAATCCTTGTCGTCGAGCAGTGGTGCAATAAATGCTATGGTAACTGGCGGTCCAGGTGGATATAAAACACAACAACCACCTGGCACACAACAGGGAGCAATGATGACGGGAATGTACGGTGGACAGCAGCAGCAGACAGCTAACGGCGGTGGTCCACTGGCTGTACGTACAGATATGGCTAACCAGCCTGGTGCTGGCGGCTCTGCTGTACAATATCGTCCCGGAGCTTCTTCACACATGCATGTTCAACAAATATCACCGGTGGGCTCAATAGCCAGTAATACTCGTTCGACACATTCCCATATGTCATCGCATTCCCATGGACATCACATGAACAACAATAATGCAATTACAACAAATAATTTACCAATGTATCCAACACCTCAAGGTCATGGCCAGCCACCAACATTACCACCCCATGGTGCTGCGGGTGGTCATTCGTCGCAACATATGGCTGGCAAACAATTGAGTAATAATCACCTAATTAGTTCGGATCAAAATCAAAATCCCCATCAAATGCATTTGCACGGAAAAACGGCATCACGGGCTTCCAGTTCGAGTGGTGGTACAGTGGGGGTGGGTGCTACAAGTGCTACTGGTGGTAGTACAGCAACGGCAGCAGCACCAAAGCAGGAGCCACGTTTAACACATGAACAGGTATGTTGGGAGGGGGAAAAAAGAGAGGTCTTATTTTATGGATAGAATAGGTCTACGACAGAAGGAGAATTCGGTTGATAAAAGTGTTCCACAGATAGAAAAGGTTCTTTATAAGAAATGGAAAAGCTATTCTGTTGATAGAAACTAGAATAGATTCTCTATTAATATGAGTAGGATTCTGTATATAGAAGAGATATTCCATAGGTAAGAGAGGTCCTCCATTGATTGAAGAAGAAGATGGAAGATGTTTATCATAGATAGATGAGGTTATATTTTAACTGAAGAGGTATACTCTAGACAAAGAAGTTCTTGAACAGAAGACTATGGGCATTGACGATTTTTTTAAAGGACAGAGAAGACCTTGTTCTTCTTTTCCTTTTAAAAGTCTCTCTAAATCTTAGAATACCATGTAGAGGGGCTTTTATATACAGATAAGAACATGTACAGTTTCTAATGTCTAGAAATCTTCTCGTTATTATTGCCCTTAGGAGTTTTCATAGGCATCAAATTATTTCTCCTCTGTAGGACTAAATAACTTATTTTATCCTGAGAACAAGTCTAGTTTAGGGCCCCCTCCCGGATCATTTTGCAATTTTTACCACATGTAGTCTTGTGGAAATCGGTATTTCCGGAGATATGGGCCTCCAAAGTTCCGTTGGGACCCTTGTATTTTCTCATAAATTTTTAATATCCACTGAGGCATTTTAAAGCATTTGAAGCCCTGATTATAAAAATATAATATTCATATCAAATAAGTCTATACTTTCTGAGATATGGGTCTCCAAAATTCCGCGCGATCCTGCTGAAAAACAATATCTCAGAAAGTATGGACACATTTTATATAAATATTAAGTTTTTGTAATCAGGGCTTCAAATGCTTTGAAGTGATACCCATTTTGCCTTAGTGAATTTTAAAAAAATTTGAGAAAATACAAGGGTCCCAACGGAACTTTGGAGGCCCACATCTCCGGAAATACCGGTTTCCGCAAAAAAAAAAAATTATAAAAAAATGTAATCAGGACCCTAAGGACTATATGTGGTAAAAATTTCAAAACGATCCGTGAGTGGCCCTAAACTAGGCTTAAGCCTTATCCTGAAGTAGACATCGATTGTTTTATAAATTATTATTTAATATCCTACATTTTAATATCTGTTTTTAATTGATTTCTCTGTTTTTTTTTTTTCCTTAGTTCCGTTCTGCTCTACAAATGGTTGTCTCAGCTGGTGATCCACGTGAAAACCTCGACAATTTTATGAAAATTGGTGAAGGTTCAACTGGCACGGTGTGCATTGCCACAGATAAATCTACAGGTAAGACTAATTGTTTGGCTTTTTGTTTTTGTTATTCCATTTTGTTTATTTGCAAAATTTATGTTTCATATTTTTTTCCATTTCTCTTTAATAATTTCAAACTTTCCCCTTCATTTATGAAAAAAAACACACACACACCAACAGGTCGCCAGGTAGCTGTCAAGAAAATGGATTTACGCAAACAACAACGTCGTGAATTATTGTTTAATGAGGTTGTAATTATGCGTGACTATCATCATCCCAATATTGTTGAGACATACTCAAGTTTTCTGGTCAACGATGAACTCTGGGTGGTAATGGAATATTTAGAAGGTGGTGCTCTAACCGATATTGTCACACATTCTCGCATGGATGAGGAGCAAATAGCAACAGTTTGCAAACAATGCTTAAAGGCATTAGCCTATTTACATTCACAGGTGCGTGACAAGAATTTTTTTGCTTTTTGTTTTTTATTTTGCTTTTGTTGTTTGAAAGTTGATATCTATGTTTTTGTTTACATACAAAATGTGCGTTGGAAATGCATATGCTGATGCATACATATGTGTGTGAGTGTTGTATGTATGTAGTAGCGTATGTGCGCGACAGTGATTGCAAAGATTTAGTTTGTTTATGGAAATTGTCTTCTTGTTTTTAATTTTCTATTACTTTTTGTTGCTATTTTTTGTATTTTGTGTTTATGTTTTTTTAATTGTTTTCTCTTTTTTTGTAAATAATGTACCATCTTGACCATAAATGGGTGCGGTCAAAGTGTGTAACAAGACACACGAAATTGAAAACAATAAAAAATGTTGTAGTAGTTACGTCAATTGCAATTTATAATTAGTTAGTTGTCATGAATTACCTAAATGTGTAATCATGCGTTTGTGGCAATCAAGTCTGCTCAAAGAAATTACGTGCAGAGAAGAAGAAATAAAAAAACTATTTTCATAATATAAGAGATCCGTAAAATGGCACATTTAATATTTTTTTGAAAAAAATATTCAAAAAATGTATCAATAGGAAAAAAATTATTCGGATAATTTTTCCATAGAAATAATTTATTCGGATTATTTTTCCATAGAAAAAAAATTTTCGGATTTTTTTTTTAAATTATTTAGATAATTTTTACAACAGAAAAAAAATTTGAATAATTTTTTACAATAAAATTTTATTTTTTACAAAAAATAATTCTTTAAGAAAAAATGCATTGTTTTGGATAATTTTTCTATAGAAAAAAATATACAGATCATTTTTCTATAGGAAAAAATTTATTGGAAACATTTTTTTATAGGAAAAAAATTCGAATAATTTTTCTATAGTAAGAAATTGTTCCAATAATTTTTCTATAGAAAAATGTTTATATTTTTTCTAAAGAAAAATAAATTATTTGAAAATTTTCTTATAGAAACAAATATTCGGATAATTTTTCTATAGGAAAAAAATTATTCCGAATAATTGTTCGGAATAATTTTTCGGAAATATTTAGCAAAATTTTCGGAATCATTTTTCTAAACAAAATATTTGGAATAATTTTTCTAAAGAAATATTAGGAAAATTTTTTCTAAAGAAATAAAATAAAGAAAAAAAAATTTTTCGGATAATTAAAAAAAAAATTATTCGGGTAAAATTTTTTTGAAATAAGGAAAAAAAAATTTGAATAATTTTTAATTTTAATTTTTCCGTAGAAAAATTTTATTTTCCATAGAAAAAAATTAGTCAAATAATTTTTCTATAAAAAAATTTAATAATTTTAGTAAAAAACGTTCGGAATAATTTTTCTATTAAAAAAATTTTTTGAATAGTTTTTCTATAGAAAAAAAATTTAATAGAAAAAAAATTAAATTTTCTATAGGAAAAGAATTATTCAATAAAATTATTCGAAATAATTTTCGATAGAAAAAAAATTATTAAATAATTTTTTCTATTAAAAAATTCGGATAATTTTTTTATATAAAAAAAATTGGATAATTTTTGTAAAAAATATTGCAATAATTTCTCCAAAAAAATTATTCAGAATAATTTTTTTATAGAAACCAATTATTTGGAATAATTTTTCTAAAGAAAAAAATTAGTCAAATAACTTTTCTACAGAATAATTATTTTTTATAAAAAATTGGATAATTTTTGTAAAAAAATATTCGGAATAATTTTTCTAAACAATTTTTTTTATTGAAACCAATTATTAGGAGTAATTTTTCTATAGAAAAAATTGGAATAATTTGTCTATAAAAAATTGTGGAATAATTTGTCCATTAAAAAAATTATTCGTTATTATTTGTAAAAAATATTGGAAATTCACATGTTCTTTATTTCTTTTGATATCTTTTTCTCTTCCAATTTTCTAATATTATTTTTTTACCTTTCTTTCAGGGTGTCATACATCGTGACATTAAATCCGATTCAATTCTATTGGCAGCCGATGGTCGTGTTAAATTGTCAGATTTTGGTTTTTGTGCACAGGTCTCGCAGGAATTACCAAAACGTAAATCGCTGGTGGGTACACCATATTGGATGTCACCAGAGGTAATATCACGTTTACCCTATGGCCCTGAAGTTGATATTTGGTCACTGGGTATTATGGTCATTGAAATGGTCGATGGTGAGCCACCATTCTTTAATGAACCACCTCTGCAGGCTATGCGTCGCATTCGAGATATGCAACCGCCGAATCTAAAGAATGCCCACAAAGTATCACCGCGTCTACAATCATTTTTAGATCGTATGTTGGTACGTGATCCAGCACAGAGGGCGACGGCAGCAGAGTTGTTGGCACATCCTTTCTTAAGACAGGCCGGACCACCATCTCTATTGGTACCGCTAATGCGTAATTCAAGGCAGCATTAAATTATGTTAGAGAAGAAAAATCTTAATTTGTGTGTGTGTTATTGCCGGGAATGGAATACTTAATTTTTTTCGAAGCTATACTTAAAAATTCAAACTGAAAAATAAACTCCAATACATTCCCCTGTTCCCCACCCCCCAAAAAGCTCCTTACAAACAAGAACAAAAGTATTGTTATTTTACCCAAAATGTATTTATATTGGCAGTACTACTACTTACTATTCTTAATTAATTTTTTATTCCATGTTATAACATTTTTTTATTTTAAAAAATATATATTATTTTTAATTTATGATTTTATTAATTTTTGGCATTTATATATGTTTAGTTTTTTTTTAATTTTATATAAGTATGTGTATTTTTTTTAAATAATATATTTTAAGTGCCGTTGAGAAAAAAAAACTAAGGAAAAACAAATATGGAATTGAATATACAGTCAAATCATACACTTCACCCCTCCATATTTATATACATATATACAAATGTTTCCATATACATATTTACATACATAAAATAATACTTAATTTTTTTTCAGTAAATGAAAACAATATGCTACATATTTATAAGAATTAAAATGCAAAAACAAAAAGTGCCTTTAACACTTTTCAATTACAATTCAAGGCTCATATCAACAACGAAGTAATGGTAAAAAATACATTTTAAGATTTATCATTTGCTCTGTTTTGTTTTTTCCTCCCTCTCACCTTCAAAAAGGAAACATTCCTCGAATAAACGTATTTCTGTTTTTTTAACCAACTATACAGCAACAAAAAATAATTTTATATACATATATAACAAAAAAAAATACTTAAATTTTATAAATGAAAACATTCCTATTGACAAGAGTAATTAAACAAAAAACAAATGCCTTTAAAAAACACTTTTGGCTTTAAAATGTGTTAACTTGTCCTATCTATATATTATTCAAAAAAAAAAAGGTTTCTCTAAAAAAAACTAAAACAAAATAATAAGAAAATTCCATTTTATGTATTTTTATGTACATCATGTTTATTTCTTGCTTAAAGAATATAAATATTGTCTATATATATATAAAAAACAGAAGTAAATAAATACATTTTAAGAATAATACCCTGTACAAGAATATTTTATTTATTTATTTTTAAATTAAATAATTTGAATATTTTCAATAGATAAATAATTTAGGAATAATTGCTCTATACAAAAAAAATATTCGGAATAATTTTTCAATAGAAAAAAATTATTCGGAATAATTTTTCAATAGAAAAAATTATTCGGAATAATTTTTCAATAGAAAAAATTATTCGGAATAATTTTTCAATAGAAAAATTATTCGGAATAATTTTTCAATAGAAAAAATTATTCGGAATAATTTTTCAATAGAAAAAATTATTCGGAATAATTTTTAAATAGAAAAAAATTATTCGGAATAATTTTTAAATAGAAAAAAATTATTCGGAATAATTTTTAAATAGAAAAAAATTATTCGGAATAATTTTTCAATAGAAAAAATTATTCGGAACAATTTTTCAATAGAAAAAATTTTCGGAATAAAATAGAAAAAAATTATTCGGAATAATTTTTCTGTAGAAAAAAATTATTCGGAATAATTTTTCTATAGAAAAAAATTATTCGGAATAATTTTTCTATAGAAAAAAATTATTCGGAATAATTTTTCTATAGAAAAAAATTATTCGGAATAATTTTTCTGTAGAAAAAAATTATTCGGAATAATTTTTCTGTAGAAAAAAATTATTCGGAATAATTTTTCTGTAGAAAAAAATTATTCGGAATAATTTTTCTGTAGAAAAAAATTATTCGGAATAATTATTCTATAGAAAATAATTATTCGGAATAATTTTTCTATAGAAAGAAACGTTATTCGGAATAATTTTTCAATAGAAAAAAAAATTATTCGGAATAGAAAAAAATTATTCACAATAATTTTTCAATAGGAAAACATATTCAAAATAATTTTTCAATAGGGAAACATTGTTCAAAATTACTTTTCTATAGAGAAAAATTATTCGGATAATTTTTCTATACAAAAATATTATTCGGAATAATTTTTCTATACAAAAAAAAATTATTCGGAATAATTTTTCTATAAAAAAATTTATTCGGAATAATTTTCCGATAAAAAAATTATTCGAAAAAATTCGTAATATTTATTTATAGAAAAAAATAATTCGCAAAAATTTTTGTATAGAAAAAAATTATTCGGAATAATTATTCTTTCGAAAAAGGATATTAAAATTTTGGGAATCATTTTTTTTTCTATTGGAAAAATTATTCGGAATAGTTTTTTCTATAGAAAAAATAGTTTTCAAAAAACTGAATATTTTTTTTATTACTCGAAATTATTTTTTTTTATAGGAAATATTATAATTCAAAAAAAAAATTGTACAAAATTAATTTTATTTTTTTATTTTTTTGTTCGGTACCCTTCAATTTGGCAGTGACATGTCTCAGCGGCCGAGCCTATGTGGATAAATATCGTAATCTGCTGAGTAAACCCCCCGATGCCAATCTCAGCAGTTATACCCTGTTTGATTTACTAATGGGTAAAACATTGCAAAGGTTATTAGCCTCGCATGCCCAACATCAGGCCCAAAAGCTACTGGGTCGCATCTGCACCAAGTTTAGTGCCTAAAAGTTGTTGTCCTTAATGAAACGGGTATATATCATTTAATAGAGTTATTCCACATATTGGGATTATGCGGTGATTTCAATGTTTTATCGGTGAAACTAAAAGATAAACCGCTATCCATTGCCTTGGATAAAATTACCGGTCTCAAACAGGTGGCTGTGACTAAGGGTCATATTGCATTCTGGATACTGTATGCCGAACATCAATACGATTTAACGGATTATATTACAAAGCTTTTGCAACAACTAACCGCCATACACAATGATTTGGCTGTGTCGAAAATAATTGCCGATACTCTACTCCATATATTCGATAATGTTGACACTTTTCAGATCATGCTGATCTCTTTTTCTAAAGAAAAAAAAGATAATTCGGAATATTTTTTTCTATAGGAAAAAATTGTTTAAAAAAATTTTGAATATTTTTCCATTACTGGAAATTATTTTTTTCTATAGAAAATATTGGACTTTTCCTACTTCATCCTGTTAAAAAATGCAGTTTTATTTGTATAAAATTAATTTTTTTTTGTTTTGAGGTATAATTTTTTTTCTTAATAATTAAATATAAAAAAATAACATTAATTTTTAACAAAACAAGATACATACACACATAAAATAAAATCTCTACTTAATTTAATTTCTGCTTAGCTAATCTTATTGTCTGTTGAAGTTTCTGCAAACAGCTGCGTATACGATTATCCTCACCCGCACCACGTTTTTGTTCAACCACCTGTATTTCTTCCATTAGAAAGGGTAAGATGTCCTCCACCGTTTGCCATGATATTGCCGATAATTTTGTTAATAATTCGAAATAGAAAAAGGTGTAATAGGATAAATGTTTCTTGGTGAGAAGGCGTAAGTGTTCACGAATCAATTCCTTGAGGATAGGGGAATTTTGATAAATGGGCGAATTGAAAATGCGTCGAAATAAATCCAATAGCAATGGGCGGCTGGGAACAATTTCATCTACCATCATTATGTGTTCCAGGGTGGCAAAGCTGCAACCCTTGAGGAAGGTTTGTAGCCGTATGGTGGCATTTTCATCGTTGGCATTTGCTGAGAGGGCATCTACAACCTCCTGATATATGGTAATGACTAGACAAGCATTTGGATCGGCTTGCCGACGTTGGGTTGATAAAAACAAGGCTGTGAGTTTTTCGAAAACAAATAATGAAATGTCCTGATTATCACTTTGCAGACAATTTATAAATGGCCGGGCAACCTGTTTGGCATTGGAGGATATTTTAAAGTGCGGGGTCCATTTTTGAATTAAATCGGTAAGGGTTTTTGTTATATAGGGATCTGATTTGAAATTGAGACGACCAATGCCCTGTACCAATACTGGCCATATTTTGTGTACAAGTTGGGCCAGTTTACCCTCGGGAGGTTTACCCATTTGTATGCTGGTTGGCAAGATGTAACGGGTAAAGGCCACATGAAAGAAGCAGGTTATTTTCGATTTACTGTAGACAATGCTGGGGCAATTGAAGATGACAATGGCAATGAAACTGTAAAAACGAAATGTCACCTCCGATTTTTCTAGTTTCATATCCGGATTTAACCATTTTTCGAAATTTCTAATGTATGCATTGAAGTTGGTGGCAATGGCGGAACGTTTACTGTAATCTGTTGTCGATTCATAAGTTTTACCCACCGAGGCAATAAATATACACAAAGGCTCCTTGGCCTTGAGTAATTCATCTTCATCGCAGATATTTGTCATTAAATTAAATTCTGATAATTTCACCACAATTTTGGTGAGTTTTAAAACATCCTCATTGTTGGCTGTTAGGAGGACCAAACTTCGCAACCATATTTGCATTATTATTGTATGATCCACCAAAGATCGCCGTTCAGATTCCAAAACTTGCAGCACAAATTGTGTTACTGCATAACGATTGCTGGGCTGCTGTTCGCTGAAATAGGCAAAGAGCTTTTGGAAATTTTGTGTGTCGGTTACGGCAAAGGAATGGGCACAAAAATCGGATGCCAATATTGGCAACCAATGACTAAAGTTGTTCACATATTGCTGCTTGACAAATGGCAGGATTGTTGTGTTGAGGGCCTTCATCAGGTCATTGTTGATTTCCAGAAAATGTTGTTCACAATTTTGTATTTTTACAAAGATCAGGTGGAGGGCTTCCAGGGTGCGTTCCTGCTCAACGGGTGTGCAGTTATTTAGGAAATTTGGTATCCATGATGAGACCAATAGACTTTCACCACTCTGAAAGGTATCAGCATGATCGAATATGTCGAGTAGAGAATCGGCAATTATTTTCGATACAGCCAAATCATTGCGTATGGCCGATAGTTGTTGCAAAAGCTTTGTAATGTAATCCGTTAAATCGTATTGATGTTCGGCATATAATATCCATAAGGCCATATGACCTTTAGTTACGGCCACCTGTTTGGGACCGGTAATTTTATCCAAGGCAATGGATAACAGTTTATCTTTTAGTTTTCCCGATAAATCATTGAAATCGCCACACAATGCCAATATGAGAAACAATTCTATCAAATGATGTATACCCGTTTCGTTAAGGGCCAAAAACTTTTGGGCACTAAACTTGGTGTAAATGCGACCCAATAGCTTTTGAGCCTGATGTTGAGCCTGCGAGGCTAATAACCTTTGCAATGTTTTACCCATTAGTAACACAAACAGGGTATAACTGCTAAGATTGGCATCGGGTGGTTTACTCAGCAGATTACGATATTTATCCACATACGCCCGGCCGCTGAGACAGGTGACTGCCAAATTGGAGGGTGCCGAGCCGGCGATGAAAAATGCCGAATTCAATTTCTTATGGAAATGTTCCCATAGGGCCATGGTTATATTTACTTTAGGTTGCCACCATTCAAGTAGTACCGGTGTTTGGAGACCAATGTAAATTCGCAGCTGTTCCTCACTGGGATTTGCCTGGAGAAATTGTTGGGTAACACGTTCACAAAACTCATAATTTTGGGCTTCATCACATGTGGCTCTGGTATAGTTGGGGCCTTCATATTGGACATTGGAGCGATAGCCGTGTAAACGTACCAAAGAATACTGTAACCAGTTGAATAATTCACAGTAACTGAGATTGGTTAGGTTAAATTTGTCTACAATATAAATAATATATTAATTTATGTAATCTATTTTCTTTACTCTCAACATTTACCCATATTGCCTTTGATTTTCTGCATTGCCTTATTGAATACACACCAAAAAGTCACCGGCTCCCCTCCTTCCAAAGTTTTCAAATTCCATTTTTCCAATGCAAATTGCATTAGTAACCACATTTCTTTAATACAGGTACATGGAAATGGTGAGGTAAACAGAAGTTCCGTACTACGTTTTTTCCCGAACAAATATATGGAACAGGTTAACAAAACATCAATCATATTTTCAATTTGTTGCATTAAAACATTACACGATTTGGTGTTTTCCTTTTCTTCATTATCCATTGTAACATCAGCATTTGTTGTATCATCATATTTTTGTAAAATGCATAAATCTAAAAATTTCCATTCCATTAGGCCATGCAGTAAATGATATGCTGGAATGTTACATTCATTGCCCTTACAGCTATTGGCAAAATAAATACTTTTTAAACTATCCATTTGTATGGAATTATTTAGCAATGACCGTAATCTAGTCATATGGGGTTTTAAAAACATCCACTGTTCGGGATGGGTACTTTGGAGGACAACATGTAACAGCATGGTTATGTGACGCCTTCTTAAATAATACGATTGTTCCTCTTGATAGCCGCCACCCACCACAACTGGGTCACGTAAACTTGCCAACATATATTGGATATTCATGCTGGGAAATTGATCACTCGTTAATACATTTCTATTTAACAAAAAATATTCATATCAAATACCCACCATGCCTCTCCAAACAAATATGTATTCACCGGCCCACTATTCATATTGGTCTTTTGAAAATCATATTTTGTTAGGGTCACTTCATCAATGGCCCTATTGCGGGCGCTGCAATAGTTTTGCAGAAAGGCATTTTTAACAAAACTTTCTGTCGAGAATTGTGAATTCATGGAATCTTCACCGGTACAATGGAACTCAGGGATTATTTCATTGACCACACAATCATTGGGCATTTGTGTGGGTTCAATATTGATGGCGGATAATATATCATCATCCTCGTCGGGTTCAAATAAATCGAAATCCATGTTTTGGGGTTCTTTTTGATTTATCAAGGATCGAATAAATATTTCATAGACCCGCGCAACTTGTAGAGTGAAAACAACAAACAAACGCACACACTATGCTAAAGTGGGTACTCAATTGCTACGCATCCTATTTACAAATAGTAAGAAGCAACAGATAAAATCAGCTGTTGTGTTTTGCGCGCTTAATGGGGTATGTTCAGTTCTCATTTATTGTTAGAAAATAAAATCAGCTGATTATTTGCACGCTTCGTTCGGTGTGTTCAGTTGAAGATTATGGTTAATGATTGCCGCCGTCAAATAAGTACGTTCAGTGAGTGATTCGTGTACATTCATGGTATAATAATAGAAGGTAATAGCAAGTGTTGTTGTACAACAAACGATACAACAACAACATTGAAATTTGTTTTTGTAAGTTATACTAGTGTCAACATCATTTGACAGAAAAATGTAAACAAACAAATAAATTATATTTATTTTGAAAATGAAATATTTTCGAATCCTCAATATAAAAAACATGAAAAAACATGAATGAAAATCTATCATATTTATATTTCTATCGCTTCCACATCCTTCCTATAATTAAGCTATTGCCACTTATATGTGTAACACATATGAAAATGCAGGGAATTGCGAGTTATTCAATGAAGAAAGATTAGGTTCCTCAAACTTTCCCAGCAGGCAGGTTGAGTAAATTGAATACGGGAGCATATTTAATAAAGAACAATTTCAAATTGTATGCGTTCCCAATTTTCCCGTTGGGTGATTTTTAAAAACATAATTTGTCAAATTCATATTGACACTAGTATTACGTTGGAATCAAATCAGCTGGGATTTGCTGTTACCTTTTATAATTGTATCATGGTGTACATTCAACAATTTTACTAGTTATGTTATGTTAAGATAGAGAAATAAAAAAAGAAAGAAAAATCGTTGCAACTCGGTACGTAGTGTCTTCTTCTGTCAGATATAACATAATTATACGCAATAATTTTTTTAACTAAAAATGCAAAAAAACTTGTTTTAATGTGCTGTCATAGCTTTATTAGGCAACTGTGTTAAATTTTAAAGTATTTTAAAGGTAATTTTATCAGAAGTACCGTTTTTAGCCAGATTTTGCCAAATACAAAAATAAAACATCAAAGGAAAATAAATATTATTTATAGAATTTTTGTGGTTTTGGAGATTTTTTAACTTTCCAAACGACCACAGCATTGAAAACATCTTAATTGTTGTAATTTTTCTTTTCATTTACAAATTTCAAACACATATTTTTGGCGGAAGTTAATAATTTTGTATGTGTACTAATAAACATCAGCTGATTAGCATTTAGATCATGATTAAAATATGTGTAAGCAATTAGGATGTATAACTAGATTTCGTTGATGGAATTGCAATTTGAAATCGAGTGGAATTAGGCAAGAGTAACAGCTCTTAATGATTTATGGAGTCTAACCATATCATCCGACTAGTTATTTAAATAATTTCTCTAAACTGTACAATCTACCAAGTATTCTGTATGAAAACGGAAAAAAATTCTTAACGATTTTTGAAACATAACCAATTTAGATTGTTGCCAAAAGTGGTATTTGTATAAAGGACAGGATTTTCATGATCATACGCAATATATATCGTATTTGTGGCTACACCTTTTTGCGCTACATAATATGGTTCTCGAAAGGATTTCAAACGGCATCGCTGATCCAAAGTCCATTGGTGTATGCCTTTGTGATTGCCTACCATCAGATTGCTAACAATGTAAAGAAAATCACCAGGCTTTGAAGCAATGTACTAAAAATTAATTGATTTAAACAAAAATTTTTTGCTGTGGTCAAGTAATACCTGGTTGTTCAAAAATTTATATTTCCATTTTCATCATATATTGAGCAAAATCTCAGAAGTACGGTAAAACAGCTATCAATCAGCAGTTGACATTACTGAATATTTTTTTTTACCCGGTACAATGTAAACGTACCAGAAAATCCGGTACAATGTAAATGTACCATAAAATCCGGTACAATGTAAATGTACCATAAAATCCGTTAAAATGTGAACGTACCATAAAATGTGTTTTTTGCAGTCTTAACCTGCTTTATGGGTATTAATTTAACATATATTGAATGGAATTGACATATGAGTCCCACTAGATTTACTACTTATACTTCAATGTAAATGTAGCATAAGCTCCTTGTAATAACTTCATATCAATCTATAGATTCCTAGTTACATTAAATAACGCCGTTGTAATTACGCGGCTTTGTACCCTAATTCCCACTAAAGATATTTTTTATTAATTATTCTATTTTAGTAATTTCATTTCTATTGCAAAAAATAAATATACACCTGCCTTTAGGAAAAGAAATTGTCATATGCCATACAGAAAACACCAGGGTTCCACCTCACATGAGTTTTGACGCCGTTACATTTCGCAAGTCGTTCTACTTGCGGTATCCCTTATCGGTACTTCTCCCATGTCTCTTTCTTAAACAATACCGTTTTTCAACAGTGTCCCTTACACTTCATTCGTAAATTTGCGATTTTCCATTTTGAGTTACTTCTTTATTGGACAGTTTTTTTCATTTTACACCATTTTTGCAAGTGGAGCGTTTTTAATTTTGGTTTGATTTGTTGGAAAAAGCGCGCAAACGAAGAGATCGCTCATTTTACCATTGTTACAACAAATAAAAACATTGTTTAATAGAAGAAGGGCCATATTTTTTGTCTTAACAAAAACAATCCAAATGAAACAAAACATGTGAAAATAATTTGCAAACGATATGCTGAAATCTGTTGTAATTGTCAATTAAATTAAAGAAATTAATTCCTGACATTAAGTGATTTGCTAGAAACGGAAAAGAAGAAATTCAGAAGAATCGCAAAAGACTCATTGTGCCCACTTACCATCATCAAAGAAACCATGTTTGTTCAAGATCTAAGGGAGTTCTATAGTCGTCTAATTGGCAAGCGGATTTTAATTATTGTCAACTATGACATCGATGCCATTTGTGCAAGTAAAATTTTGCAAGCCCTCTTTAAGTATGATCATATGCTGTATTCCGTGGTGCCCATAATGGGTTTAGCTGGCCTCCAGCGGGCCTATAACGAACATCAGGGTGATGTTAAATTTGTTTTATTGTTAAATTGTGGTGGCTGTGTTGATATTGTCGAGTTGTTGCAGCCCGAAGAAGATGTGACATTTTATATATGTGATTCGCATCGTCCCCTGGATGTGTGTAATATATACAGTGATCGTCAGGTGAGTAGGATGGACAATTTTTGTTTTGCATGAATGTTTTTGTTTTGTGTGTGGGTAGTAGCTGTCTGCATATGCTCCATTTCTTAAAGACGACAAGATCATCCGATTGTCGCGAACCCCAAAAGTTCGTTATTAGACACCCATTCCATATTGAGGGAATTTTTTTTTGTCTCAATAAAAATTCTGTAAGGACAGGGATTATGTGTATGGATATTAAATATAATTATTTTCCTTTCCCCCCAAAATTATTGGGGATTTTTAAATCAGTATTAATTTTTTACTCCTTGTTTTTGAAGGTTTGCATTTTGGGTGATCCTTCTGCGGAAGAAAACATACCCCCCTTCGAATCAATTTTCTGTGAATCCGAAGATGAAGACGACGACGAAGAGGATGATGAAGATGAAATAAACGATAGTGGTGCTGGAGAATCTGATGCCGAAAATGAAGATGCCAATACCCGTTCGGAACGCCCAAAAAAACTTAGCCGCATGGAAAAACATGAGCAGCGCATACTAAAACAGCGACAACGACGTGCCTGGGAAAATGAACGTGATCGTATTATGTTCGAATATACCCAATATAGTTTCTATGGCCGTTCATCGGCCTTGGCCATATTCGAATTGGCTTGGAAGCTATCCAAAGATAATATGGATTTATTGTGGTGGGCCATTGTGGGCATTACCGAACAATTGATTTTGGGTAAAATCGAAAGTAGTGCCTACACCCTGGAAATCGATAACATCCAATCGCACGTGTCACGTCTAACCAACAAAGTTAACGATCAGAGTAATATGAGTGCATCGAAAATTAATTTTGAAAATGATTTACATTTGGTGCTGTATCGCCATTGGAGTGTTACGGAATCGATGCGTTACTCCAAATATGTGGCTTGCAAGCTAAAGCTGTGGACATTGAAGGGCGAGAAGAAATTACATGAACTACTGGTGGAGATGGGTCTGCCGTTGATACATGCCCGCCAGACATTCAGTTCAATGGATTTGGTTTTGCGTCAGGAGTTCTATTCCATGGTTGAGGGTTTGGCAGAGAAATATGGCATACCCGATGTTATTTATGGTTCATTTACCCTACACTATGGTTATCGTAATCGTTATTCGGCAGCGGATTATGTTTATGCCTTGCTGGCCATATTGGAGTCGGTGAAAAAGGATAAAACTCCGGAAGATTGCTTCCTGGAGGCCTTAGATGGTTTGGGCCGTAATCACAAAGATATACTCAATGCTGGCATTGAGGGTTCCAAGTTGCTGCATCAGGCCATTTTCAAACAAGTACAAAGTAGTTTAGAAGCCCATCAGGTCCATTCGACCGGTTCATTTTTCTATTATATACTCAATGAGGAGAATACCTTCTTCTCCTATCCTTATGGTTTAACAATGTTGGCCAAATTTCTTCTGCATGGTCATGTGGCAGTGTCACGTAGTCGCCAGGCACCAGATTTACCCTTGATAGCCAGTTGTCCCATTGATGCGGAACATGGTTTGTGTCTATTGGTGGGTATACCACCGGTACGTGAAGATTCGCCCAAGAATTTCTTTGGCAAGGCATTCGAACAGGCTGCCCAAAAGTGTAATGCTGCCATTTTACAGGATCATTTTGAAACGTCACTAATCCAAATAAGGCAAAATGATTTAACACGATTTCTGGATGCGTTGACCGTGCTGCTAACATAGTTTCAAATCGAATTGTGGTTATTATTATTTAAATATGTTAGGTTAGAATTATGTTATTGTTTTTTTTCTTTTGATTTAATTTCATTTTTTGGGGCCTCAGCTCTTTTAGTTGGTAATTTGTTAGTAATTTATGTATTCCATTTTTTCTTCATGTGTCTTAAGCTTCAATATAGACTTTTCTCATATAAGAGTTCGTCTGTTATTAATTAGAAAAAAAACGAAAAAAAAGAATTTCTTTAGGACTTTGGAAAAACAATAATTTTTAGTTTAAAACAAATAATGTATTAGGAACTATTATTAATCAAAGCATAACAGACAAACACATCATTAATAAATTATACAAATTGTTTAATTAGGACTTGTTTAAAACTAAAAAAGAAATAACTACACAATTTAACTTTAAGTTTTTTTTTAATGTTATCTAAGAAACAAACACAAAATACTATTATTATACATATATCAACAAAATACACACAACACAATATACATTTTTACAAAATTCATTAATTCATCATAAATTTTGTTTGTTTTTTAATTAAGGAAATCAAGGGAAAATTCACCACTGGGATAAGAAACATAAAAATTACTTCAAAGGAGGTTTTGCTTTTAAAGCAAAAATGAAAACCTTGTTATATATACATTTTATTAAAGTTTTTTAAACTAATTATAATTAAAATTATTTACACTATAAATTTTATCATTAAGCTAATCATTAGACCTCATGAATTTTCTAAAATATTTTTTAAATTCTCCACATGCCTCTCGCCACTATCATTTATGGCCTCAACAATTCGTGCCGAACCCAAACATTCCGACTCGCTATAAAATACCGCATATTGTCCTGGGGTAACAGCCCTTAATGGCTTGTCTAGTATTACCATAATATCCGTATCATTATTTAATGATTTTCTATAAACAGTACAATCGACTAATGGTTTAGTATGTTGAAAACGGAAACGACATCGTAATGGTGCAGCATCCACAGCCTCAAAAGGATTTTCAGAACATAACCAATTAACATTTGTGGCAAAAATTTGATTTGCATAAAGGGCAGGATGTTCATGACCATAGGCAACATATATCGTATTGGTGGCAACATCTTTTTGTGCTACATAATAGGGTTTGCGAAAGGATTTCAAACGGCATCGTTGACCCACCGTCCATTGGTGAATGCCTTCATGTTGGCCCACCACCAAATTGCTATCAATATCCACAAAATCACCGGGCTTTGAGGCAATGTACTAAAAATAAATATTTAAAAATTAATTGATTTTCAAAATTTATTTTTTTATAATTATCTGTGTTCAAGGGTTCTGGCTGAACATTTAAAGTCAATTCAGAACCATAAAGATTGAAAAATTCTTGTAAATTGTTTACCTCTTTTATAAATTCCTTAAAGTCGCGATTGCCAACAAAACAAATGCCCGTACTTTCCTTCTTTTGGGTTAATCTTTCCAGGCCACATTTCTTGGCAATTTCCTTTATTTCCGATTTCAAATAATTACTCAATGGGAACATTGTTTTTCGCAATGATTCTCGGCGTATGCCAGAAAGGAAAAAAGTTTGATCCTTAAATGTGTCATGGGGTATAAGGAGGCGGACATCTACAACAACAAAAAATATAAAAGCAATGAGTATATACGTCACATATCGGTTATAACGACGGTATCCAAAAGCCCCGCATAATATTCCGCCCTTTATTTGATATCGCTTATGGCGACCAATTTTTAGCTGGCGACCAATTTTTAGCTGTAGTTATAATTTTATTTCCTTAAAAATTACCACAAACCTTCATTTTCTTTGTAATTTTCTAGAAATGGACCAAAATTCGTTTTGGCATAATGACCCGTGGCAATGGCATCATATTGAAGACGTTCCAAGGCATGTTTATAGAATAAATCGAATTTAATGTGTTTATTGCACAAAATATCCGGATTTGGTGTCAAACCCATTTGATAATCTTCCAAAAAGTTTCTAAATTTAATAAAAAAACAAACATTAGAATTACTCCCAACTCCATTACCAACAAATAGCAAACTTACGTAAATACCGAATTCCAATACTCCTTGACATAGTTAACCTGCCGCAGTTCAATGCCCAACTTGTTGCACGTATATTCAGCATCTAAGAGATCTTGTTCACCCGAACATTTGCCCATCTCATCGAATTCATCCCAGTTTTTCATAAAGACTCCCAGTACTTTGAAACCTACAAAAAACAAGGATTAAATAAAAAATATTATCCATCAAAATAGCCCCAATTGGAAGCCAGAAGAGTTATGGGTAATAGCAACATAGTAATCGGAAATTTTAGATTTTTATAAATGAAAGTGCGCGGGTGGGTATTTTTCTTCCCAAACATTACCATTTTCCTTTAAAAGGAATGCACTGACGGCACTGTCAACACCTCCGGATATGCCCACCACCACTTTCTTGAACATTCCTAACCGTCGTAATCTTCAGCACCAAAAACCAAACCATCCATAGACCAAAAAAAATGTAAACAATAAACATATGATGATTAGTGGAGTGTGTTCAGTGTGTACACCTAAGCTATGTAAAGACTTTTTTTAGTTTTTGGGCTGCAACGAGGTAAGATTTTTCCTTGATAAAGAAGAAATCATTGTACTTCATTGTAATTCCTTATCGTATATTAGAGAACTATGAAAGAATTGCAATATGGCCACTGCATTTGCTTCACTTTCTCATTACGGGCTTTCAGAAATGCTTTACAAAGTCCATGTTTTGTGTAGTATTTTCAGTGATTACCATTAAGCTAAACGGTGACCTCCCTTTGACAATGAAGTAATTTTTTAGATAATTGGCAAATTTTCCCAGTTCTTCAATAGAGATTTGGAAAATAATTGCAATATAATGCCGTGATTGCTCCCCTTTATCATCCCGGGCTCCAAATATTGTTAACAACGGTCAAATGTTGTGTGTAGTATGTTCAGTGTTTACTTTGCGAAGGTAAATGGTAACTAAAGGTGCTCCTTAAATGAAGAAGTACATTTATGTGGCAAATTGCACTGTTTTACAATAATTTTAATAAAATTTAAATAAATTACAATATAATTTTTTTTTTAACTCTCACCCATGGTATAATAATAAAAGGTAACAGCAAGTGTTGTTGTACAAAAAACGATACAACAACCACATGGAAATTTGTTGTTGTAAGTTCTACTAGTGTCAACTCATTTGACAGAAAAATGTAAACAAACAAACAAATTATCATCAAATTATTTTTATTTTGAAAATGGAATATTTTCGAATCCTCAAAATAAAAATTGAAAAACATGAATGAAAATCTATCAAATTTGTATTTTTATCGCTTCCACATCTTTCCTTTAATTGAGCCATTGCCATATATATGTGTAACACATATGACAATGCTGGGAATAGCGAGTAATTCCTTCAAGAAAGATTTGCTTCCTCAAACTTTCCCAGCAGGCAGATCGAGTAAATTGAATACGGGAGCACATTAATAAAAAACAATTTCAAATTGTATGCGTTCCCAATTTTCCTGTTGGGTGATTTTTTAAAACAAAATTTTTCAAATTCATATTGACACTAGTATTACGTTGGTTACCTTTTATAATTGTACCATGACTCTCACCAATGATGTGGAGTATGTTCATACGGAGTAATACGGTATAACCATTATACAATAATACAAAGCAGGGCAGCTTGAGGCGAAAATGTCATTTTTTACGTAAAATTTGAATGGATTTCAATGACCGAATAATTATATTTTTTCTGATAGTGATCTGATTTTTGTTGTTCACTTTAGTATTATTGTACCAGGCCATTACCACGTTTTAACATACAAAATTGAATCATTCTTTATTTGATATGCTCAAAATCCTGTATGAAATCGTCATTATATTAAATATAAAACTGTTTTTGCATCCTAAAGTGCTTTAATTTTTTGAAAAATGTGAAAATGGCACAAATAAAATACATATATATAAACAATTTTTAAATTTTTAAGCTCTTCTATAAGAAAATTTTAAGCTCGTCTATAAGAAGACCTCAAGCTCCTCTATAAGAAGATCTCTAGCTCTTCTATAAGAAAACCTCCTATTCTTCTCAAGGAAGATCTCCTATTCTTCTCTAGGAAGATCTCCTGCTCTTCTATAAGAAGACCTCAAGAAAATAGTCGCCTAACAAAAATATGACAGCTGACGAAACATTATTTTTGTTAATTTATAATAATTTTTTAAATTATTCTTGGCCTAATGGTGAGTAATTCCTCTCAAAATACTGATTGAGACAATTGCCACCGAAATTATGAAACCAGTGATATATGTATTTATGTATACGTAAACAAATAACAGCTGACTGTCAACTTTATAGCATTTTAAGTCTAAAGAGCTAGAATTTGGTATCTCGATTTACAAATCAAGCCTTAAATCGAAGGAATAGTATAAACGAGCATTTAAAATATTTCATTATCTCAATGTGCTTGAAATTCTACGCAAAATAGAAATACTTTCAATTGCAAAACTGAAAATCGAATTTAAAAAATAAAAAATTTATAAATAATTAAAAAAAATGAAAGCAAAAACTATTAATAAATATTTTTGTTTATTTTTTAGGAAATTCCATGTGGATTTTTGTTTTAGAAAATTCCATATAAAATTCCAAATATAAGCTGACTTCAACAATCTAATAGATTTTACTATTTTCTTCGATATCATACAGGAAAATTCGTTATCGTAGTAAAAAGTAATAGATTCTTGCAGTACGGAGCAGACCATACATAATGTTAATACTGGTAGACTAAATCAAGGCACAAGGCCTATTAGATAGATATGAGCTGCTTCTCAAGCTGGATATCAGCTGCTTCTCAAGTTTGCTGTCAAAATCCATTATTGTGAATTGTCTTCTATTATTACAACGTAAACAACAAGATCTATTACTGAGATCACCCAAAAGTCAGATGTTTTTTTCATTTTGACTTTGTTTACGATTTCATAATGGAAGTCCATTCGCAATAATGAATTATATGCCTTGGTTAACAGAGTCAAAATTTTTGACATTAGACATGAGAAAAAAAACAGCTGAATTTCGATTGCTGGGTGACCTTATTAATAGATCATCAAGGCCTATTAATAAAATGTAATCCTGGAAGTACAGCAGTTTTTCAAGTTTGCCATAAAAACGCAATATTGTGAATTGACCTCATATTATCAAAACGTAAATAATATCAAATTTATATTGACATTTAACAGCTGATTCCTGTGTGACCTTATAAATGATGAAAACAAAATCAATTCGATTTAGAATAAATAAGGCTACTCAATGTACCTTGAAATAAACGACATGTATATTAGAACTTTTGAATTGGCTTAACCTACTTAAAAGCAAGTTAAGACTACTAAATCCTCTCGATTTCAAATGTCAATTCCATAGCGTCACACAAATTTAGTGTATTTTATTTCACGTATACGCTGACATTAGAGATCGGGTGGATTTCGTATAAACACAATTATGAAGATTTATTTGACATATATGTCAATTCCTTGGCATATATGACAATTTAAATCAGCTAAAGTAGGTTAACCCGGTAAAAGTCCTTGTATATGTTTATGAAGATTTATTTGACATATATCCAATGGAATTGACAATTTAAACCCACTGAGTTAATGCAATCCAGTACAATGTAAATGTACTATTACCATACAAAACTAAGAGCGTGTTTTGACTACAAAATCTACTCGATTTTTAATGTAAATTCCATAGCGTATATGTCAAATGAAATCTACCGGATTTCTGAATATTATTAACGTGAGGTATACGCTATGAATTTGACATTTGAGATCTAGTGTATTTCGTAAATCTGTACGTAAACAAATATCAGCTGATTGGCTCTATATTATTTTTATATTAGTCTAAGCAACTTGACTGAGATCTAGGTAAGAGTAGATTTACTGAAGTTATTGTTCCTTCTCGACGAAACAAATTGTTCCATAGGTTTTGGGAAGCTTATACAAACGTAAATAATATCAATTTTTTTTGACATTAAACATCTGACAGCTTTTTAAATAAAATCAAGTCGATTTAGGATGTCAAAAACACGTTTAGATATGTAAAAATATCACCTGACTGACTCTAGTCTAGACCAAAGCCTATTAATAATGTCATCCAGGTCATCCGTTATTGTGAATTGACTTTCATTATGAAAACGTAAACAATGTCCATATTTTTCCTATTAGACATGAGAAAAATCAGCTGACTTTTGCTTGCTGGATGACTTTATTAAAATACTTTGATCATAAGAGCTTGGATTTTGTACATCAATTTAGAAATCGAATCTTTATTCCTTATCTGGCGTTCTGCGTAGGAGTAGATTTACTTCTTGACGAAAAAACAAAAATTTTCCATAGAAACTTTACAAAATGTACGAGCTAAACCTGGAAAGAGGAAATAGGGCCCCTCTTTGGTGGTTTAGCTGTATAATCATTACCCAGAATTTATATGTTTTGGTATATTGGCATGATTAGCTCCTCACTTGCATACCCTCTACCCTGCCATACTAGATATATTTGCCTGGGATATATCTAAACCAGTTGTGACCTATATATTTTCAAAGCAATAGTAAGCAACAAATCCTGGAACTTGAAATGCATTTCCCCCCTAAAAAAGAGTTTTAGCATCTTTATTGCAATTTTGAAGATTTTTGTTGTTAATATATCTCTACTGCGCAGATAATAACCCCAAACAACCTCTCTCAAAGAGAGAGATAGAGAGCAAGAGAAATATATGAAGAGAGCATATATAGCACAAATAACGCCTACATAGCTGGATGATAGTAACGTAAGGACAATGTCATTGAGATGTTTCGGAACACAGCATCAGTATTATTGTAACTGTGAATCGAAACACTTGGCGAAAATAAAAATAAAGCGGATTTTAAACGGAGATAAACGGAAGTTCTTTAAATCGTTCAACACAAAAAAAAGAAGGCAATCAAAAAGCTTCCTTTTCCTATTCGAGTAATAAAACCCACACGAATTGAAAGTGTTAGTTGTTTGTTTTTTTTTTTTTTGTAGAAGATTAAAGGATATTCAAACATACACACACATATATATGTATATAAAGATGTATTTGAGTGGATTTATATATTAAGTAACTTTTTGTTGGTTGGTTGCACAACCAACAACAATTTGAAGGAATAACAGCAACCTGTGTCATAAAAAAAACGAAAAAAAAAAACAAAAAAATCTCAAAACAGGAACAAATGTGTCATAAAAATTTTATTTAAAAAAAAATCCTTTGAAATAATCCCATTAAATTTATTAATAAAAATTATTTTTTATATAGACTTCACAGTGTATATTTTATACCTTTAATGTTGCCTTTGAAACTTTAACAAGCCTTGCCATTGAGGTGTATATATTGTATATACATGCGTGAGTACGTACGTACGTATAAACAT